CTGCAAAATCTTCTGGATCGAATATTCGTCCAACGGCCGGTGGCCTTGGTCCTTCAAGTCCTTGCGAACCAGACCAGACTGTGACCTTGGTGAGGAGTAATCTGTCATCTGACCCCGTGCAGCGGATATTTTCTCGTATGACATATACGTCTGCTATTAACCGCCTTTTGACCGTAGTCGATTTGGTGAAGTGTAGTTTCCATCGCGTCTTGGCTTCGTCGAACACGGTATTCGTTTTGAGGAGGCGCAGGCGGTTTCTTTGGAGTAAGCGCTACGAGGCGGGGGCGGCTTTCGCTTAGCTGTCCACTTCCATACCAGCCGATGAAACGGTCTGCCGTGGGACTGAAATCTCTTTGCATGATCGCGCACGTGGATGTCGTTCTGGTGCACTGCGTTTTCCATTTCCAGTTCCTCCTGGAACTGTTCAACTTATTCATTGTCTGCTTGGTGCGTTGGGTGCACACTTCGATTATCTCTATTAACTTTCGATGACCTTTATCCAGCCGCCGAATCGGTACGACGACATGAACAGACGCGAGGTCACAGCTGACTACGAGCGGCACAGTCCTCGCCCTCGTCCTCGCCCTCTCGTTTACGACGAATGTCACACCAGCTGTGTGAGGTCGAGTCTTGTAAGAGCCTACTCCAGAACAAAATTCTATCATGACTGTTCTGTAGTGCGATAATTTCGGCGAATCTCCCGGTCTGGCACACGCCGAAAACATCTGCCTTGATGTTCTTCGCCTCTGAAATCTACACGTACTAGACGAACGCGTCTAACTGCAGGGTTCTGGTATTGTGGCTAGCCACGTGATACCCTTTCACCGTTTGCGAGCGCTTCCTGAACGTCACCGAGTCCTAAGTACTGCCAGTTTTTCGCCGGGAGACACCGTAGCCTGTACTTAAGGCTGCACTAAGGCCGCGCTACTGTTCGCCGTATGGTAACTTATTTTTGGCAAGTATCGAACGCAGCACATTCAAGGTGAGCTATGGCGTCGTGAACTATAGCATTCGTACACCACATCCTTCAACTAGCCTTTCTAGACCCAGAAGGGAGGCGCATGGTGAACTGTTGATCGTGCCAGAGTTCACTGACCAGTAGTCAGTCGATGACCGTTCTCTGGCCCCTCCCCGTCTCACCCAACCGGAGAAGACACCCTGCGGCGTATCTAGCCGGCTCGGCTCACCTTAACCATTTTCAGTTAAATAGATTTTAATAGTTTAAACGGTCTGACCACCGCGCAACCACCTTCAAATTAAAAACAAGATCGGTAACGATGCTACGTCTCATAATGGCAAAGAGCCCGCATAACAGGAACAAAACAGAACGTGATACAGCAGCTGTGTCTGTTTGGATGAAGAACCTCAGTGGAACTGGGTTCGTGGCAGGAATTTCAGAACGCAGTACGTCGGATGGTGAATAGACACGTACGGGAGTAAATTTGTTTTGTAAAAAGGACAAAATATCGACGGAAGACAAAGAAAAGGCAATTGATACTAGATGCTTCCACGACCGAGTAGACCGCATATGTCTGTTCTCGTCCGTCCGTTGAAACGGCTTTCGGAACCTAACCTCTTCTCGTACTGTTACTACCTTAGTTTTTCGTTCGAGTCCTGCAGATGACCTGAAAAAGCCGTGCTCTTGAGTCGTTGAATCTTAATCGCGTGTACCGTTTACGCAAGCCATACGTTCTTGTTTCCTGTCTTGGGTTTTCATCCGTTTCTGCAGTGCAACGGCGTCTTGTTGCGGACGACCTCACTGTCATACGGAAAATCTATTCTTCCTTCCGGGTTCGTTCGGGGAATAACGCAGTGGCGCGGAAAAGAGCAATCTTTCAGGGCTAGTCTTCAACCGTATCGACGTACGTTTGATGAGCGTGCACAAAAAAGCGTGGTCAATCTCTGTCGTCGTACATCTGCTGCATATCACGCCTATTCTCCACCTAATCGCCATTGTCCGTCGTTCTGGACAGGCTGACATGGTGTCAAACAGCACTAACGACACTTAAGCAAATAAATAAACAAACGGCGCGAAGTCCTCTCAGGCAATGCAGAACTCGAATACGGCGCGTGACTGTTGTTGGTGATCGCTGGCCGTACTACTGTGTTTAATAAAACAGACGTTTTGTCGTTATTTACGATGCGGTCAGTGATAAATGCTGGCCAACCTTAAAACGGCACAAACCACCGACCGCAGCAGTGGTACAAATAAGCATCGTACGCAAACATCTAACCTGAACATCTATCACAACTGTAATCACAACCGCCTGGTCTGAAGACCAAGTGCCAGTTGACTCGGGCAGTCGAAACCGACAGACCATT